AGCGCTGCGCGGGTGCTTCGGCACGCCCCTTCCCTGGCGCCGTCCGGGCTGGCCTCGGCCTCCCCGCCCCAGGGCGGCACGTGGGAACCCGCCGGCAGCGCCTTTTGGCGGCACCGAGGGCTTCGCTGCTCCAAGCGCTCCCGACAGGTCCTGCTATCTGTGGGACCTTGCGGGAGGACCGCGGCATGGCTCGGGCGATGCCCGAACGTTGTACCCCTAACGAGGGCAGGGGAATCGGGGAGGAGGCGCGGCTGGGAAGGAGAAGGGAGAACCCAAAGCGCTGGGAGCAGAGATGCTCCGGCGAGGTGTCCGGGGGGGACTTTAAGGCAGCAGGTCCTTACAAATGTCAGAGAAATGCCTTTTGCTTCCCGCTCTAGGCTGCTACAAAATCACCACGGTTTTCAGTCACGCCCAGACAGTCGTGCTGTGTGTCGGCTGCTCGACCGTGCTGTGCCAGCCCACTGGAGGAAAGGCGAGGTTGACAGAAGGTGAGCGTTGGGGGGCATCTTAGGGGTGGGAGGACGGACAGTCTGGCTTTAATGACACAAGGATGCCAAGCAGCGATTTCAAGCCTTTTTTCCAAGGTGAATCTGACTCAGCAGCCCATTTTTAACCGATGAGGTCATAGGAATGTGGATAAAAATGGCTCTTCTGTTTTCTTCCCAGAAGCACAGGGCGCCCTGGGAAGGTGCTGTGGACCTCCTGGCCATGCTCACCGTTTGCGTTTTCTCCTTGCAGGATGCTCCTTCAGGCGAAAGCAGCATTAAACAGTGGACACTTGCACAGGATGGGTGGGGCTATGTGCACAGTCGCTGGCTGTGATTCTGGTGATCTCAAGAGCACGAATAGAGTATATGCAACGAAGCGAGAAATGTAGTTGTGTTACTGTGGAGGGCTCTAGTTGCTACCAATGGCTGGGGAGTAGGGTTAACCCTATAGCTATGGCACTGTCCTTGTAGTCTCACCCATTTGACTCAATAAATTTTGGATATAAAGGCAATCTGTCGTCTTGTGTGTTGGGTGTGCGAATTGCCGGAGTGACGTCTGCCCCTACCTCAGATGGTTCTGAATTGAGCTATCCCTGAAAGTATACTGTGGTTTAATTCTGACTCTTTGGGAATCTGGTTAAATATGGAAACGAGCAGGGTTGAGCTCGCTCTAAATTTCATGCAATAAGTTGGCTTCTGTCCTTTGAGGAAGTCAACTCCGCCGGTCCCCAGAAGCAAGCCGGTTGAGTTGCAGATAGCGTGGTGTTTCCCTTCCCCTGTAAGGATGACACTCGCCACGTAAAGTTCATCAGTTTACTTGTTTCACATTCTTCTAGAAGTCACCTTCGTACGCTCCACAGCCAGGCCTGAGTCCTGTTCCTTAGGCTGGAAGGGTGGTGCGTAGCACTTAGTGGAGAATAGAGGTACCCTAGATGGAAAGGGAAGGGGCTTGAGAACTAACAAAAAGGCGTATATCCACTTGCACTCATCTTGGGGGGAAATGGAACTTGCTAGCTAGTCATGGCTGCAACTGGATTTTATCTCTGCTTCCCATTTAAAACATCTTAAAAGCAGTTTACAGTTCGAGCTCAGAGAAGCTGAAAACCAATGAATTTTGAGGACTGAGAAAATTGCTTCTCCATATTCAGTCTGCTGGTGCCTGCCCGTTTTCAAAAATTCTCAGGTGCTTAAGACCTCAAAAGGTGTAAGGACTACATTCCCAGAATTTGGGCTCAGGCTGGGGATTCTGGGTGTCTTCCCAGTCTGCGCCCAATGGCTTTCTGGAAACTCACCTTCATGCGTTGTGGCCGAGGTGGGAACGTAGACCACTGGGACAGTCTGAACTCTGTTCAGGAAGGCATTATAGGCTGCAAGGATAGGATAATACTGGTTTGTTCCAGGCTCAACCTTCGTGACATCTGGAAATACTGAACTGGAGCAGCCTTCTGGATCTAGTGCCATCCAGATCGCTTAAGGGGAGGTTGACTTTGTGCCATCCTTAGGCTTAGCTTACTCATGGTCCCGGCCAGCCCGCTGGACTTACTGAGAAAGATGACCATGGTGGATGCTAGGACTGCGAAGATGGTGAAGAGGAGGACCTGGTATGACCCCACCAGCTGCCGGACGAGGCTGGCCTCAGCACATTGATCTAGGCACATTTACAAAGAGAGAGTGGTCTTGCTCTAGGCACCAAGCCTGCCCAAGAACCAAGCCAGGTTCCGTGTGCTCTGCAAGTCCGAAGAGCCACGCGAGCCTTGCTCGTGTTCACTGGCACTCACCAAAGACGTGCTGTTCCTGCACGGGCCGCACCAAGACAGCGGCCCTCTGCCCCGTCAGGCTGCAGGAGAGGTTGACGAAGACGGGTGCTGCCCTCCGGTGGAGAGAGGTGAGATTGACCACGCTGACCGGGTAGAGGACAAGCCCGGGCATGTCGAGCAGGAGGAGGGGCGGTTCCACTTGCACTACCGGAGAACTGGGATGGGCCTTGGGTGCGGGAGAAAGCCAGCCGTTAGGGGGGGAGCAGGGCATTCAGGGAAAGCCAGGCCCTTGGGCTTGGCTCCAGCAAAGGGGACGCTCCACCCAAACTGGGTTCCACCAAAGGCTGAGCCCTAAGCCGGGGTTTGCAAGCCTGAAGGGGTCATTCCTAAAACCAAATAAAAGGTGGGATGGCTTAGGGAACCAGGACCTGCCTGTCGTGAGCGATCCCTCAGATATGCCACACTTGATTGCCCGTGATCCTCAGCTTCGTGCACCTTCAGCAGATGACAACTTAGCCAAACCTTGTCTCACCTCTGCCTTGGAAGCCAACTGCTTTCAGGGGACAACGAGTCCCTGCTGCTGTCTGCAGAAGCCCCTCCCCAGCCCCTCAGAGGAGGTGGGGGGGCTCTGCTGGCAACTCGCTCCATCTTGACACCCCCAAGGCAGAACGAAAACTGCTTTTTGAGAACTTGGGACACCCAAGAGGAGATGTTACAGCAGGGAGGGAGGGAGGAAGGATGGCCTCCAGATGTTGCATTCCAACTCCTGTCAGTTCCAGAAAGCATGAGCAATGATGCAGGAGGGTGGGAATTCTAACCCAGACTCACGCGAAGAGGTTGAGCATGATGTGCCCAGGTGCAGGCCCCTGAAACCCTTCTGGAGGCAAAATGGTCTCTTTGCATCTTCAGGAGGAATAGCCAACGTCTTCCACGCAACCATGTTCTTTTTGCACAGCTGTGCTTGTCCTTAAGCTTTCAACTTACCTCGATTTTTTCCGTCACTCTCCTGGCCCCGAAGACCAGGATTTCGCTGGTCAGCTGGGAGCTGCTGAAGACAATTTCGGTCTGGTTGATGTAGAAAGCCGGGAAAAACGGGACCGAGATCCGTTGCTCTCCTTGGGTTTGCTCGCTGAGGAGAGCAGCGGACACGTGCACGAAGCCTTCCACTGTGCAGAGGGCCAGCAGATCATCTTCAGGGTGGGCCTTCACGGTTACTATGCAAGCGTAGAGCCCTTGATGGAAGTCAGAGAGAGACTCTTTAAAACGTGCCTTCGGAAAGTCTGGATTCAAGATTTGATCGGAAAGAGGGCAACTCTGAAAGAGGCATAGGAATGGAGCTTAACATATGAGCCCCTGAAGGTCACGAGCAATGGACAGCTGGTGTCGCAGAGTGGCCAAAGTTTAAACTTTCTGTAGTGCCCTCTAGCTTAATTTTTGCTCAGCTGTCTTCCCCTACAATATGGGACAAATCATTCTGATCTATTTTGCAGGACAGAGTTAAGTATTCTCTGCAAAAGGTGCCCAGAGTGAGACCCTCTACATCAGTGTTTCTCAACTGTGGCAACTTGAAGATGTGTGGACTTCAACTCCCAGAATTCCCCAGCCCCTCATCGCTGGCCCACAAATGTGGTGCGTTGGGTCCACACCACCTCAAACTGTCCTCCGTTGGGGAAATGGGGCGTCATGGT